AGAGTATCTCATAGCCACTGATTAAAACGAGCACACATAATCACCTTCAAACGCGTGGGACGCAAATACATATTTTTGACATTGAAAGATCACCCCCCTCCCCCGCCCTGAGGAACCATTAAGTGCTACTTTTCCTCTTTTTGAAAGGAGTGACATTTCGAAGAAATGCTAAGCAACTGGGGGGTAATCCACCAAACTTGAGCCTAACCTTTACTAAATAATGGTTTGTGGCTACGCATCATGAGACACCTCTGTAATTAAAAAAAGAAATCCTCACTGTAAGAGGTTATACATTAGTATAGACTCTGTAATGTACTGTGATTAATGGCAGAGAAAACAGTGTTGTTTCAAGTAAGACGTGCACCTCAGTCAAGAAAGTGCTGAAGTAAAAGAACGCCCTCTGAAGCCATCAATCATATTTTTGAAATGTTTCCTCTCCAGCACTGTGACAGAGATAAGATGTACACCATCTGGCTGGAAGTCTATTATATACCTTCTCTTTAAAGCTGCTGTAGGCAATTTTTTATTCTGTGTCATGTGGGAAAAATTCCATAATAATCTTTCAGTATATTGTTATTCACATAGCCTGAGAGAAAACTAGACTTCTGCACTCCCTCTTGGCTCTGTCTTCAGGCTTTAGAAAATCCAGCCCGTGACGGGAGACTTTGGCCAATCACAGTGTATTTCAGAGAGAGGGGGCGTTCCTATTGGCTGTTCAACAAATGCTCCCTTTAGATGGTGAAAGTCTGATTGAACTGTGGGAAAATCCTGCTGGAAAAGTTGCTATTCCAACGTTGACAACAACTGCCTTCACTGCAAAGCAACCCAAAAAAGGAAGACAGACTTATCAAAAAGAGACATGTCAGTATCGTCGAAGCGTTTTAGAGATGGAGAGAAAATGTTGCTAATAGTTTAGACTTCTGTATAGCCAGACACTCACTGCTGTGGCTAATTCAGGTTCATGTTCATATAGAGCCCTGAATCACAGTGTGTCTTCTCAAAGGGCTTTACAGGCCCACAAGTTTGGAAAGAAAACAGGACTGCAATTTTCTTACAGTTGAAGGTATATATCTGCATCAGGATCACAAACATCATTGGGATGATATTTGAAATGAATGACTAGTACTAATACAGGTTAGTGTATGAAGAACGATGTATGGAATTAATGACTACTTGTTAGTGCTGAATTTTTCACACACCGTCATACCGGTGCATAGCCGAAACAACTGCTGTCACTCTTCAACAGGCAGCTAAATATATTGTTCGCCGCTAAGAAGGCTACAGTCAGAGCTAGTTGTCTTAACTGTATTGAGAGGGACCTCTAATCATGGTTATAACTTTATAACACAACAATTAATAACCCACAACTAACGCTCTTTAACAGGGCAAAACACCACAGCACACAACAGTTTGTGACAAATAAACAATTTGTAACACTAATAATTGTACATTTATAAAATTATACCGCCGAACGGCATGCTGGGTACAGCTCGCTAGCTAGCTAGCCCGCTAGCACAACAGTCTGTTAACAGCGAGAGGCTCCGTCGCTACAGTAACATTACATTAAATAACAGAAAAGAGCGATGCAGGATGAACAAAGACAGACCGGAGATGCACCGATAGAGTCTGTGCCCAAGAGAGGTGCTGGATCTGCTGTTTGGAAGTGTTTTGGTTTAAAAAAATCCGACGATTTGCGAGTCTGTCGAGCCACTGTTGTTGCCGCTGGTGGTAACACGAGCAACTTACTCCATCACCTCAGTAGAAAACATGAGTTGGAATACCAAGAGTGTGGTGATGGCCGTCGGATTCGAGGCTGTCAACCAGTAATGTTAACGCGAGTGAAACAGTGAAGCCGAAGGGTCAGACATCGCTTTAAGAGGCATTTGCTCGAGGCACTGCATATGACAAGAAAAGCAAGCGGTGGAGCGACATTACGAACGCAACAACAATCCACCTCTGCAAGGACATGGTCCCGCTACAGACAGTCGAGAAAGACTCAGAGCAATGATTAAAACACTGGATTCAAGGTACGTCTTACCGGGGCGACAATACTTCAGCCAAACTGCTATCCCAACATTCTACGAACAAATGAGCAAACCCTATAGTAAGCAAAGCCTTTATACATGATGACATTAAAATGTTTTATATTCTATATACTCCTGACAGTAGAGTAAGCCACTATAAACCTCTAATAAGAACCCAGTCAAGGAAAAAAAGAAATACCGTGATATACCGTGAAACCGCCAGAATCTTAAAAAATACCGTGATGCACATTTTTGGTCATACCGCCCAGCACTACTACTTTACATGTTACTGTATGAAGAACGATGTATGAAATGAATGACTAGTACTCGTACATGTTACTGTATGAAGTGTGTACATATGCCTGAGTTTGTCTGGTGGGAGGGGCTTATGACAGGGAGGGGAGAGAGGAGAGCCGCAGGATGAGGGCTGTATTTTCAAATTCTGCCATTTTTGATTGCCTTTTTCCAGAAAACTGCTTACCCCAGCTTTAAGAGCCTTAGTGATGTTTCTATATAGTTCTCTATAAGTATTGCTTTCTTTCTACAATCTTGCTAATGCACTGGAAAGATCAATATCTAAGGGCGCTTATATCCATTTACTTTATATACAAGCAGAGTTTTTCTGTAAATAAATGTGTTTTTCTGTTTCTCGAGGCAGTCCGTAAAACAAGACGCATATCATCCCTCCGAGCTTCATCGCAATGAGTCCTGAGGGTGCACCAGCTGTGCCCTTTAAAGTTGGAAATTTGAGCTTTACATTTTTGTCCCCAATCATGGCAATTTAGGCTGGATGTTAGGCGTTTTGTTTATTTTTTTAGAAGTGTTGCAAGCTTTAGTGGAGAGAAAAAAGAAAGAAATTGAAACTGCAGTAATTATTGTGTTTTTCCTCGTTAAGGCGCCGTTATGGAGCTATATATCAGATTGCCTCGAATGCATCGTGCCCCATCTCAAACAACAATAAGCCCCTCATTTATTTCTGATCTGTCAAGTATTTCATGCATTTTAATGATTTTGATAATGTTGATTTTCGCAATTGTCAGAAATGGGCGAATTGGCTAAAATAAAAAACAGCAGCAAAGCCTTATCTGATCAGCATTTGCAGATCCAATTATCTTGGTGTGATTTTGAATCTAAATTAACATTTGTCTTTTGTCTCACTCTTAAAAAATGAAAAAGGAAGCTTGTTGTACACTAATGCTAATGTGTTGCCTTGATTTTAGTGAACTCAGTTTTTCACTGATTTTGGATGTGGGTGCTGGCGGTGATGACGGGATGCTCTATAGTTGTGAACAACTGTTTCTGTACGACTCCACAGTTTGCCTTGCAAGAGGAACAAGTAGGTCAAAGCGCCTCGGGACCCTTTCAGCATTTTGACAGACTTCCAGATCTCCTGGAAGTTGGTCTCCAGAGGGGCGACGGCAATATTTAGGGCAAAGCCCTGCGCAGTAATCTCCTTCCTGCAGCTGGTGCATCAGAAAACGGGGAATATGAAAAATATTAAAGAGAAAAAGAAACAAAGAGGGAGAGACATTTTATTTGTAATATTTAATAAGGGTAGGGGATCCATGATTCAGGCAGGTGTAATACTGCTGGTGAGATGATTGCTTTCAATGTGCTTAGTTTGGCTCGTAGGTTATTTTAAGTACAGTACAGTTATTGCATTTCCGAAGCAAGTCCCTTATGGGAAAGCATCATAAACCTCGTCACTACCACTGTTACCAGACAGCAGCTTGCACAAACTGTAACAATGGTGGTAAAAAGGGGGCTAAGATAGAGAACAAGGCAAAGGAAGTTGTAAAAAAAAGGGCTCAGACAAGCTGAATGGACTGGGTATTTAGTCTCTGGGTGTCTCAATGGGCAGCCTACAATGTATGTTAATTCATCCTTCACAAAGAGCCTTGAAGCAAGGCTTTCCCAAACCAGCAAACAAATCACTTCCCTCGCTCTATTGGTATTCTGCGGCTGATTCTGCAGTCTTTGTGTTGTGAAATGAACAGCGTGGAATAACAAACAGATTCAAGTTGTAGGTGCGGTTCACTTACTCAGGGGTGACTTTGACTCAAACTACTCTTCAGGCACACACACACACACACACACACAGAATCGTGTTTCCTTCCTTGCTGAGGCATTGGCAGTTAGTCTTCTATCACATGTAGCCCACTGCTGCTTTAAACCCTTTTTCTTTTTGTAAACATGATGACGTATTTTTGTGGGCAGAGTGTAGGTGGAGGACGAACAATCATTTCAACACATTGTTGGCTTGTTTTTTTAGAATGGTTCTCAATAGTAACTTACTTTGCGAGTGTAAATAAAACATGTGTAAAATAAAAGCATGGCTGAATTAGCAAGCTAGCTAAGTACCCAGCCTCCCGCTAGTTAGCTTGTTAACTCCACCACGCTTTGATGCTTTACTGCAGGGGTCTCAAACTCATTTTCACTCTGGGTCACATCAGCATCACGGTCGCCCACAAAGGGCCGGTTGAAAATGTAACTACTCCTAACATATTGGTAAATAACTGTCTCTGCATTTGATTATTGTTTATTCAAGTGTAAAAATATTGTACATGCAGTTATATAAATGTAAAAATATATTTAAGCACATTTCTGTTATTATAACTTAAATCCTTTTAATTTAGGGTTAAGAAACCCACATTACTCTATCAAAGATCAAACTATTAAAGAAAATATCAAAGACAAATATCAAACAAGTTATTACAATAACTTTGTTCAATGCTTCAAATCCTTTCAAGGGTGCGTTTGCACAATCCCACATGAAGTATTTCATGTGTTTTAAAGCCAAGTTTAAAGTATCTTCAATGTACTCACAATACATTTATATGTCAAATGTACAGTAACCAGCCACAGAGCTGCTTCTGT